TCCACCCAGCTGGGTTGGTCTTCTGTCCATTACCCTTTCTAGCTTTAACCAGGAAGACAAAGAAAGGTTTTGGGGGTTTTGTTTTTTATAAGCAGAATTTAAAATACCACAACTGGGGCAGAATTTTAAACTGCAGTAGAGCTGGTGACAGGAAGCTTCCTTATGACCAGGTCCCTTGAGTCCTGGGTGGGGAATTGCAGGCAACTTCTCAGTTGATTACTGTGCAGTTGGAGAGCTTGGGAGGGGAAGTCAGAGCGAGGATTCCATTCTGACTGTTCTTTTTCATAGCTCATCTTTCTAAGGTTTGTGTCTTTTCTGAGGAGAAGTCACTTCAGAGCCAAAAGTCGATAAATTTCATTCACTTTAAAAATTGTATCTTTTTAGTACTCGTTGAAGACTTATTCAGGGTAAATAACATACTTTGTTTAGCGATATAAGGGATTTAATTAACCTAATCACTGAGCTGGTCTCATTGACAGACAGGACTGGGGAAAGATTCAAACGAGGAGTGTTTCAGGCTGACTTTGACACCGTCTGCACAAAGGCATGCAGAGATTTTTAAAAGTTATACAAAAAAGTTGTAAGATAAAATTGGCCAACTCTTCCCATCTTTTCTTTTTCGTGTGCTTCTTATTGTAAGCAAGATACATTGTTTCTTCCTAATTTTCTGATTTTTGCCCAAGATTCATTTTGCCTAAAATAATGTCTAGAAGATCAACCCTGTTGATTTCAAAAACCAGTTGCTCTTTCCTCATATATCACATCAACTACCTCTGCCGAACCCGAGCAAGCCGGCCTTAGGGACATTTCGGGTGTAAAGCCTGGGCCTGCAGGAGCGCTGGTGAGCAGTGAGCTAGCCAACTGTGCAAGAGGGAAGATGCTGAGGATGTCTCTGGAATCCAAGAACTTGGCCTAAAATCGGTGAAGCGAGGATTCTTAGTGCCATGGCGGCATTTGTAGTTTGATCCAACAATGCATTTGGAGTTGTGGGTGATTTCATCTCCTGAGTCTGGTTTTTGTGACTTCTTGATGTTGGATTTGTGTAGACTTTGCATGTCAGAAGCCCCTTCTTGCTAGTGACATAATCGCATAAGTAAAACTCTTCTAGGGCAGGAACAAGAAGGTATTTCTATAGGTAGAATGGCCTTTGACTTCATGACATCGCTGTCTAACTGCTTGTCGGCCCTCAGAGGCAGATGACCACAAAGGTAGGAGATAATTCTGGCCAAAGAAGATCACTTCTAGGCAAATGCTCTTGCTTTCCTTTTCAGAATATTGTTATCCTAGGATTAGGGTCTCCTAATGAAAGACAGTTTTGTGGGCAACTCGGTTCACCTGTCTGTGCCGCAGTTTTCTCATTGTAAATGATTGCATTAGATGGTGTGCAAGGCCATTTTTAGCTCAGGAAGGTTCTGAAATGCTTCCGATGTCCCTGAAACCCTAATTTCCTACTTTAAGAGAATGAAAAGAGTCCAAATTTTACTTTCACATGGATTTGGATTGCAAATGCTTAGAGATTTCTTTTCCACTTAAGATCTTTTTCAGTAAACACTATATATATATATATGTGTGTGTGTGTGTGTGTGTGTGTGTGTGTGTGTGTACGTGTCCTATATCCCAAGAGGAGAATGGAGGAGATGGGATTGTGGCGTGCCCATCCCCCTGGGGTGATTTCTCACTTTCTGTCTCTCTGGCGAGTACATGTACCCTATAGCAAAAATCTCTTTATAAAATAAATAAATAAACTAAAAATCAGAGTACTAGATGTCTAACTGCTTGTCGGCCCTCAGAGGCAGATGACCACAAAGGTAGGAGATAATTCTGGCCAAAGAAGATCACTTCTAGGCAAATGCTCTTGCTTTCCTTTTCAGAATATTGTTATCCTAGGATTAGGGTCTCCTAATGAAAGACAGTTTTGTGGGCAACTCGGTTCACCTGTCTGTGCCGCAGTTTTCTCATTGTAAATGATTGCATTAGATGGTGTGCAAGGCCATTTTTAGCTCAGGAAGGTTCTGAAATGCTTCCGATGTCCCTGAAACCCTAATTTCCTACTTTAAGAGAATGAAAAGAGTCCAAATTTTACTTTCACATGGATTTGGATTGCAAATGCTTAGAGATTTCTTTTCCACTTAAGATCTTTTTCAGTAAACACTATATATATATATATATATGTGTGTGTGTGTGTGTGTGTGTGTGTGTGTGTGTGTACGTGTATATATAGCGAGACAGAGAGAGATAGTAACTTAAAGCTTGCTTGTTCTATACAAATATGGCATTGCCTTCTAGATTAAGTTTTTAACCAGGGTCAAATTTAGCCTTCTAAACATTCTTTAATTTTAAGATAGTTTTGCCTGTGAGACACCCAATACAGGAAGCCCTGTGCAGGACAGCCTGGTAAATAGAGAACTGGGAAGAGGAAAGTCTTTAACCATGCCCCAGATTACATCGGGGCAGTCAGGATGAAAGGGCTCCCTTCCGCATGGGCCTTTCCTGGTGTGGATTAGACTTGCGGGTCTGTGGTCCTAATGAGGACGTATGGCTTCATCTCAGCTGTGTCTCAGCAGAAGACCGTGAGATTCCTATAGATTTAAAGTTTGGTTTCCAAGAGCATGGAAGCCCCCTAAAGGATTATTTCCCTAGGAGCTTGTGCTTCCTGTGTTTCCATTTTCCTCAGTTAACAGATTGTATTTATCCCTTCATGGATAAGAAACCAACAGAGGTTCTTCCAAGGGGCAGATCTTAGTAGCATGAGGGCTCTTTGGCTGCTAGAAGGGGACACATGCAAAGGCACTGGGGTTCTTTTATAGAGAATGTCAACTAGAGCAGGTGAATACATCCAAGGTCGCCATAGGCCAGGTTGGCTATCCCTTGTCCTGTAGAATCGAGGAACCCCCACAGCCAAGGTAATGAGCAAACACCGACTTTAGAATCCCGCCTGGCCTTCAAGGATCAGCAAGTTCCCTGGCCGAGCATCCTCCTTGTCAGCGCTGGCAGCATCGATTCAAATGCTGCTGTGGATTTCCAGGTCTTTGCCGTCTGCCTTTTACCTTACAGTGGTTTGGTGAAATATCTTACTCCAGTAACCTGGGAGAACACCCAAGCACCTAGCGACTGTTCTGAGGGACATGATGCTGTGCTCTTTCATATACTAAAATTGCAGCCCAGACCAACTCCCCAAGCCTCCGTCATTTAAGTCATGTCTGAATGTAATGACCCAATAATCCTTTCATCTCTGGTTGCGTTTCTTCATTTAGAAGGAAGGATTAAACTTTGGATAAAAGATACTCAGGCCCCACAGTCCTTAGTAAGGGTGAAAAAAGGAGTCCAGCGAATAATTGCTTTGCAATGAACTTGTCAGGAGAGAACAGGAGCCCCACTGGCTTCGAGCCAGGCTCCTTCTGCAAGAAAGCTGGGGCCAGGGCCATGCTAACCAGCCTTTCCAGGGCCTTTCGCCCTTGTGCCCAGTCACTTTCTGCTTTCTGCTACTTCTCCTTTCTTCTACTCTCACGGAATATCGACTAGAGAATTCAGTTCTCCAGGACCCCTGCCTGGTGAAGTGGAGGCCGAGGGAGAGGTTGTGTGAACATCGCGCACAGCGGACTTTGGTGTCTGGTTGCAACATCTTACAGGCTGCTTCAGGACCAGGGAACAGGCAGAACACCTGTAGGTGAGCACTCATCTCTGACACCCACACAAAGGCCAGGTTTCCACCCGGAGGTCAGGGACAATGACCAGGAGGCAGAGTTGCCTTCGGTTGTTGTGAAGAGGTGAGAAGATGAGAATAGCACGGATTTTCTATAGCGGGCACTTTTCCTTGCCAGATGCTCCAGGCACTGCTCTGGGTGCCTCAGGAATCCCTCTGCTCGTCTCCTCACTCTATGACCCATCCCATGTGCTCAGTGCTGTCCCAGGCACTGCATGCTCCGGGGGCAGGGTGGGGGCCCAGATATGGCTGCCCTCCAGGCTTGCCGTCCTGTGTGCTGGGTGGGTCACGTGGCCACTTGGCGTTGCCCTGTTCATTTGGCAGATGTAGGATGTAGAGGCCGGGAGAGACCCAGAGCAGGAGTGGGAGTGAGAACAATTCTTGCCCAGATCTGATCCCAGAGTCCCTGCTGTTCTGCTTTGCCATGCTGCTTCCTGTTCTTAATGTGCAAGTGGCCATGAAAAGACTTTGCAAGGTGTGAGCTGCAGTACTCGCTTAGTGGCTGTTTGTTCGGGTCTTTGTTCTGTCACCAAACAGATGGCTCAGAGCTGAGAGGGGGGCCTGCGCTCCTGATTCCTCAATGGCCTTATACCTGAGTGCCCTGCAGGGTGTCAGTAGCTGGCCTAGGGGCTGATCTTACCCTGATCTCAGGGGAGAGGAGCTGTCCTCTGCCCTCACCTCGTCTCAGCCTCCTAGGGCAGCACGCCTGGGCATTAGCTCAAGCTGGTGTGTGTGTGGGAGCACCCTGTGTATGTGCATGTGTCTATGTACATGCATGCACACATGCACACACGTGCTCCAGGTGTGTGTCTGATAGTATTATTCTGTGGTATTCCCTTCATCTCAGTAGAATACTAGCTTCTAAATTAACTATACGTTACCCCAAGAAGACAAGAAAAAAATTCCTTCATTTCCTGCCTTTGGCGCAGACGGTAATAGTGGAGTCA